AAAAAAATTGACACTTGTGACCGGGATTGTGCTCCAGGCTCACATATGAAGAACAGTGCGTTACTCTCTCTGGCCGCTAGACGCCGCTGTTTCTCCTCATCGCCGGTAAAGCGCTTAATCCGCGGGGGGCCTCCGGTTTTCCCGCAGCTTCTCTAAATTCACCCGCTCGTGACACAAGGACTCTCGCGCTCAGCTCGGAGTAACGGACAGAGCTTCTTCTGATCGGTTCTTCCCCGTCTGTCAGATCATTTCCGCGGCGCAGGCAGCGAAGCACGGACGCGGATCCGCCGAAGGACGCTGTTGTTGTCGTTACCGGGGAAAGGACGCGCTTGGAAACGGCGGCGGTCCGTGAATGGATGCATCATGTCTTCGTTTGTGTGCCGCGTTCAGTTTCTCGACGACACCGATCCGTTCAACAGCACCAGTTTCCCGGAACCGACCCGAGCTCCTCTCTACTCCTTCAGAGAAGACATCCCTCTGATCGAGCAGATCGCGGGGGTCCACAGGCTCCTCAAGGCTCCTCACAAGGTCAGATCACACACAAACTACACACAAAGTTATCCTTGTCTTTTATATTTCACTAAATTATCATTTAAAGCATGCATGTTGATTTGATGTTTATTTAAAACTATATTCCGGTTGATATTTACTGAAAAAAATACTATCTAAAATAATTAACGTATACTTTTAAGTATTTCGAGTATTATTTAATTTGGTGTTTTTTGTATAGCATGTATTACAAACTAAACTGTCAGTTAAATGAGTTTGTGTCGGTGTTTTTAAAGCGCGACAGGTGCAACTCTGAGCCGCTCATTCATTCACACTGACAGACAGTAACCCTAACAATATATGTGACTCTGGAGCACAAAACCAGCCAGAAGGGGCATTTTTTTGAAATTGAGATTTATAATAATTTTGACCCATACAATGTATTGTTGGCTATTGCTACAAATATACCCGTACTACTTACCCTGTACAGTCTGACTTATGAAATAATGGAAAAATCTGATTATTTTGAAGTGGAACAGTTTAGAGGCAAAATATAAAGTTTGATGCATCAGGCTTTTACGACTCATATAGTCTGATACAGTGAGAATATGGAGGAAAAAACAGCTCAGTTTTATTCAGAGACTCAAAAATAATGCAGTGCAGATGCTGATTTTATATGATGAGATTCTGCTGCTTGTAATGTAAATCAATGAGATGTTTCTAACAGTAGAGCAGATACTGACATAAAATGATCTAAATATCACTCTATATCTCCAGTAATCTGTCTCAGTAAGATGAGATTGAAATGCTCCAAACATATAATGCAGTGATTGAGAGCTGAAGAAATAAAGGCTCCTCAGAAGATGTGAGATGTTCTGGAGGCTTGTGAAGATCATTCCTCCGCTGAGGAACAGTGAAAGTAAAGCTTCTGGAAACAAACGCTCCTCAAAAGATCCTGAGGATCAGATTTGAGACTCTAAAACATGATTGATGGAGAATCAAGTAAAGCTGAGCTGCTTCAGTCCAGTAAGTGTTCATCTGGAGATATTACTGCAGTTATTCTGACGCTTACTTGATCAAAACCAGTCAAGATTCACAGCAGAAAGACACGTGAAGCGTTTCTACAATTACATTAAAAGAGCTTTCACTGGATAAAATACTCTAAACTATCAATCAGAGATTGATAAGGCATGGAGGAGATGGTGAGTTTTGATCATGTTCATCATTTAGAAGTCATAGAAATTCACATATCCAAAAATTATAGGGTTAACCATTTTAGTATGTTTATATTCATAAATTTTAAGAGTGTGAATGAACAAACTGGTCTTAAAGGACATTTACTGTTACACACACGTCGCATAAACAGGGATTACAGCGCACACGCTTCATCTCACTTTACACACCACACACGTGTGTATTACTCTTGTGCTTAAAGGAACAGTTCACCCAAAAATGAAAATGTGCTGAATATGTCCTCACCCTCAGGGCATACAAGATTAGGATGAGTTTGTTTCTTCATCAGGTTTGTAGAAATGTAGCACTGCATCAGTGTCTCAGCAATGGATGCTCTGCAGTGAATGGGTGCCGTCAGAATGAGAGTCCAAACAGCTGATAAAAACATCACAATAATCCACAAGTAATAATTTAGTTAAAAACATCTTATTTGTTTCAGCTTTTGTCTTCTCCAGATGTTAACTGATGGACTGGAGTGCTGTGGATTACTTGTGGATTATTGTGATGTTTTTATCAGCTGTTTGGACTCTCATTCTGACGGCACCCATTCACTGCAGAGCATCCATTGCTGAGACACTGATGCAATGCTACATTTCTCCAAACCTGATGAAGAAACAAACTCATCTTTGCTTCAGTAATGGAGACTTTGCTGGTTGTACATGATTAAAACACAGTCTTTATACACTCAGAATGAGAAAGAACAGGCTGCAACATAAGAAAAGACCATTTAATGCTGCCAAAAGTATAAATCCATCATTATACAAATGTAAACAACAGACAATACAACCAACCTAGGTCAAGTGCATAATGCTATTGTTTGTAAATGTTATTGTACAAGCATAATCACATATATTATGTTATCATACTATTAAAGTCACGCATTTTTATGCTAAATTGGAAAATGCTGTATTGGAAACAATGATTTCAGTCATACTGAGTGTTAGTGTGTTTTAGTATCTGATCATGTTCTGTGATTTAAGCTTCGCTGGTTTGATAGAGATGTTTTGTTGAACTGACATCTCTATTTCCGTTTGCTTTCTGTCCATTCTGCGCTTTCTCTCTGCTTTCTCTCTGTTTGCATGTGGCGTTGTGTTTTTCTGTGTCAGTCTGTCATTTGAGTGAAAGTCATGGCCAGTAATTGGCTGTTTCGGTCGAATCTGTAAAATTAAACAGAGGTCAGTGCTGCTCCCAGAATGCCGCTGTGTGACAGAGTTTCTTCTCGCTCTGATGTTGTATTTTCCTCATAATGCTGAGCTGTCAGGTTTTTCTTTGAGGCCGAAATGGATCAAAACACCCAAATTCTTCATTTTCCTACTTATTATCGTCTATTCAACACCGTATCAACACTGTCAGTATAAATATTAATATGAGTATATTAATGCTTATTGTATATGGCAGACACTTTCATCCAAAGTGACTTACATTGCACTATTTGCACGCATATTATCATGCACTTTCTGGGAATCGAACCCGTGACCCTCATGTTGCAAGCGCCGTAATTTACTGTTTGAGCTGCACATTACAAAATAATTAGGCTTACATTTAAGGTTTGTGTGTTTGAATTGCATATAAAAAGGTTATCTATTTTGATTAGTATTAACATTAATAAACTTATTGTGATTTGTCAGACTCACATAAATTATACACGTCAGATTTCTGTGATAACACTAATAAACTGAATGGGTTAAAAAACACAATAACCAGCTTTATATATTTATGGATTCAATTTGATTCAGTTTCAGACTTATGCATTTTATCTAACTGAATATTGCTTGTTCGACAGCTAGAAATATTTGAACCATATTAATACCTTTAACTGAGTAAATGGAATTGTTTTCACAATAAAGACATTTATTCAGATCTATTTGAATAAATGCATTTTGAAAATATGATTAGCCTAAATACAATCAAATGGATGCAAATAGTTAATAATAAACTATGCCATGATTTTGTTGTGTATATGCCTGACAAATATGCATAACAATAAGCTTATTAATGTTAAAACTGTGTAGTCCAGATAGATGGAAATTTATATGCAATTAAAATTCATAAATCTTACATTTAGGCCAAAATATGTTTATTTTGAAGATATAAATAATAATTATTTTATGAATAAATACATGAGGTTAATAGTAATAAAAATAGATTGTGGATGAGTGTTGTTTTTGTATCATTGAGATAATACTATAGTTTTATTATTTTGAATGAGTTTTTATTTTTATATTTTTGGTTTTAACTTTAATATTAAAGTTTTAGTCATTTTCTAAACACGTTGTTTTAATTACTATTTCAGGTTTAGTTATTGTAGTTCTTTAGTTTGCGCATGTGGCTTGGGAAAAGTTGGGGTTAGGTTACAGTTAAGTTGTGGTTAGGTTTGGGTTAAGTTAGAGTTAAGTTGGGGTTAAGTTAACATTAAGTAGTGGTTAGTTTTGGGTTAAGTTAGAGTTAAGTTGTGGTTAAGTTAGAGTTAAATTGTGGCTATGTTAACATTAAGTTGGGGTTAAGTTGGGGTTATGTTAGAGTTAAGTTGGGGTTAAGTTGCAGTTAAGTTAGAGTTAAGTTGTGGTTAAGTTAGAGTTAAGTTGTGGCTATGTTAACATTAAGTTGGAGTTAAGTTGGGGTTAAGTTGTGGTTATGTTAGAGTTAAGTTGGGGTTAAGTTGCAGTTAAGTTAGAGTTAAGTTGTGGTTAAGTTAGAGTTAAGTTGTGGCTATGTTAACATTAAGTTGGAGTTAAGTTGGGGTTAAGTTGTGGTTAAGTTAGAGTTAAGTTGTGGCTATGTTAACATTAAGTTGGGGTTAAGTTGCGGTTATGTTAGAGTTAAGTTGGGGTTAAGTTGCAGTTAAGTTAGAGTGAAGTTGGGGTTAAGTTAAAGTTAAGTTAAAGTTTAGTTGTGGCTATGTTATCATTAAGTTGGGGTTAAGTTGTGGTTATGTTAACATTAAGTTGGGGTTAAGTTAGAATTAAAGGGGTCATATGATGCGATTTCAAGTTTTCCTTTCTCTTTGGAGTGTTACAAGCTGATTGTGCATAGATAAGATCCCTGAAGTTGCAAAGACTAAAGTCTCAAAACCAAAGAGATATTCTTTATCAAAGTTAAGACTCTGAAGGAGGGGGCTTTGTAGAAAACGAAGCGTTTGAGAGAGGCGGGGCATAGAGGACCTACAATAATGTACAGTATTTGAAAAATAATGTGTTTTTTGAACATTAAAGCATGTCAACATATTCTGTTACACCAAATACACAAAATAATGATCTTTAAAAAAGCATCATATGACCCCTTTAAGTTGTGCCTATGTTAACATTAAGTTGGGGTTAAGTTAGGGTTAAGTTGTTATAATCATTGCTGTTAATAGTGTTCATCGTCTGTTTGATTACGTCATTAACTGATTTTTACCGTACATTTCTGCCATATGTACATCAATCTGACATAGTCACCACTGACAAGCTACTGTACTACTAAAGATATTGTAGAAACTTAATTTCCTGTAAAGCTGCTTTGCAACGATTTGTATCGTGAAAAGCGCTATACAAATAAACTTGAATTGAATTAAGTAGCTGTTAGTTAGGGTTAAGTTGGGGTTAAGTGTTTTGCACGCTGCACTAAAGGACAGTCGGTCAGCGGCTCATAAGAGTTCAGCCTTCACTAACTACCACTTACACTGGATGAGATTCAGCCGGATCTATTTATAACCCAAGAATGCCAGACAGACGCTGCAGTCAGTGCAGGAGATGTTTGACCAGAGTTCAGCTTTGTGTCGTTTCTCTCTATTATTACAGGACTCCAGAAATAGCACATTATGGATATTTCTGTCTGTTTAGTGTCTTTCATACACTGGAATATATGTGAACTATATTATCACACAGTCATAATTTGATAAATGCAACTATAAGGCATGAAGATATTAGAATATTATAAACATTAACATCATGAGTATTGGGAATGGTGTACTGGGAAAAATGCAAATAATATATTTACCAATCCAGCCAAGTCAAACTTTAGTCGTATTTATCACCAATAATTCCAATTTGTTTCAATCTGATACACTTTCAAAAAAAAAAAGTTTTTTTGAATTTGTAAATTACAAAACATCATTGGAGTATGTTTTACAAAAAAATGCTGTCTCAGACTTTCTATTTCACGTTAATTCAGTGTTTTGCTTGTTTCTTTGTAATTATTTGTGAAAATTTGATAGCAATTTTTGAGTGAAAACTGTTTCTACACAATTTTTTTCAGTGTTTTAGCTTATTAAATATTTCTAGCCCTATTTTGTTTAAAATTTTTCATTGAATCAATGTAATCATTTGTAAGTGTGTGTGTTTGTGAGTGTGTGAGTGTGTGTGTGTGTGTGTGTGTGTGTGTTGTAATGCGGTTGCTAGCAGGTCCAGTGTTTGTTGTTCTAATGATCGGTGGTTAAACTCATTATGTGCTGGTTTGAGTTGGGTCAGACGATGGTTCTTGTTGATCCTCTCAGAGCCTCATCTGAGCGTGTTCAGTGCTTCACCATCACTGTTGATTATAAACAGAGACGTGCAGATGCTCTTCTTCATCCAGCAGGTGTAGTGTGTGGTTAATGTGTGATTGATTGTTGTTTGTGTGGCACATTCTTGAATGAGCTGAGTTTGTTGGCCTGAGCGTGGTCTTAAATCAAAGCTGCCGTCTTGAGTGTTTGATTAGGGTTTGGAGAGTTCAGACTCAATGGAGACGCAGGTGTTACGAGCTCAGAGACGCCAAACCCACCAAACCAGCACTTACATGCTCAGCTGTACTCACTCACTGCATACGAGCTCATTCTGATTAATATTGTACAGTGTTTTGTTATTTTGTTCGTTGAAAACACAAGCGGCTGATGTGGATTACAGAGCAATTGACCAAATATCTTGTCAGTCTCAGTGTGTGTTTTTAAAGTAAATAGTAAATCAAACATTTTTGAATTCTAAAAATGCAGTAATTGCTCTGTTTTGGTTATCATGTGGATTACAGATTATAATATTTATACTCATTTTCACCAAGGTTATGAGTTCAATTCCAATGGAATGCATGATAAAATAAGTAAACTGATTAAACAAATATATATGTGAAGATTTCATTTGCAAAAACAGATAACAGATTTTAAAAAATCATGTTTTTTTTTTTGCCCTGCATTCCAATTAATATCAATCAAACTGCAGTTGGGTTGTTTTGATTAAATAATAATAATAAAAAAAATACAGTTAACTAACACAATAAAAGACATGATTTAAGAAAATTTATAAAAACGGAGTTATCTGTTTTTGCAAATAAACTCTTCTATATATATATATATATGTATGTATGTATGTATGTGTGTGTGTGTGTGTGTGTATGTATGTATAATAAAAGCTTATACCAAATGCATAAAGTTGCAAGTTAATTCCAGTATTTATTAAAATATATCTTTAGAAATCACATTCTTTATTTTACAAATTCTAATGTACATGATGAAAAATTGCATTTTAGTTGTAATTTTAAAACCTTTTTTGTTAAATTGTATTACTTTTTCTTAATGGGTGTGGAAATCAATTATCATGGTAATCATCATTTTTATACACTAATGTTCATGAGTTTAGGTTCGGTAAGACTTTTTAATGTTTCTGAAAGAAGTCTCTTCTGCTCACCAAGGCTGCATTTATTTGAGCAAAAATACAGTAAAAATAGTGAAATATTATTAGAATTTAAAAGAGCTGTTTTCTATGTGAATATCTGTTAAAATGTAATTTATTTCTGTGATGCGCAGCTGTATTTTCAGCATCATTACTCCAGTCTTCAGTGTCACATGATCTTCAGAAATCATTCTAATATGCTGATTTGCTGCTTAACAAACATTTCTGATTATTATCAATGTTGAAAACAGTTGTGCTGCACAATATTTTTGTGGAAACTGTGATGCATTTCTTTTTTTCAGGATTCACAGATGAATAGAAAGTTCAGAAGAACAATATTTACTTGAAACAGAAATTTTTTGTAACATTATAAATGTCACTTTTGATCAATTTAATGCATCCTTGATGAATAAAAGTGTTAATTTCTATTAAAAAATGAACTTTTAACTAGTAGTGCAAATGTTAATTAATTATATATAAAAACAATGGAAGTAGTTTCCCCATTCAGAGAGCTGAGTGTGTTTTGATTTACATGCACACCTGTGTTTGTCGTGAGCGCAGCTGCTCATCACACTCTTTAGTCATGCATGCTAACGTTTTAACACGTGAAGGGTTTAGCACGTGTGTGACGTGTGTTCTGACACTGTTCCTGATCAAAGCTACAAATCCATCGGCACGCTCTGAGTGCACTGCAGACTGCTGTTCTGTCCCGAGAGCGCAGTGAAGGAAAGAGGAAGCACATGTCTGTTTTTGTGTGTGTGTGTGTGTGTGTGAGAGTGAGTGTGTGTGTGTCACACACACACACACACCTGTAGTGCTTCACATCATAAATACTAGTATTGTAACTTGTAGTGTGTGTGTGTGTGTGTATATATATATATATATATATATTTCTAATAAATTCAAATATATTATTATCATCAAATATTCATTTTTGATTTTTATAGTACAGTTGTAATTTACAACATATTTCTATCTTAATGTTTTATCATTTGAGTTAAAAGTAATAAAACTACCACTGCCAACACCAATTATTTTTATTAGTAGTAGGCCTATTATTATCACTATTATTATAACTAAAATGACTATGATCAGAAAATAATAAAAAAATTAAAATAAAAAAGACAAAAACACAACAAAATTATATTTTGCTTAACCAAAATGAAAATGGAAAATATTAATAGTATACTAATGGGTGTACTTTTTGAGAGAAATTACTGATTGTACTAATCACTATACTAATATACTAATCAGGGTTGCTAACTAAAACCATAAAAATGTGTTACTTGAAATAACTTTAAAAGAAATAAAATAAAATATACAAAAATAAAAAAGGTCTCATTACTTGAAATAAAATTAAATATAAAAAACTTAAAAAAGAAAACAAGGATTAGCTAAAATAAAACATATTTTAAAAACTTAGTTAAAATAACTAAAACTAAAACTGTAATAAAAATGAATAAAAACCATATAGCTGTATTTAAAAAAAATCTACAAAAATGACAAAAACACACAGCAAAATTACTAAAACATAAACCCAAATTAAAAAGTAAACAGAAAATATACAAATAAAAACTAATTCAAAATATTAATAAAAAAACTAATATTTGAACGCCTGTTTCTTACCAAACTAATTGTGACTTTACATCTCACCATTCTGACTTTTCTTCTCAGAATTGTGGGAAAAAAGTCTGAACTGTGAGATTAAAGTCAAAATGACTTTTTTTTGTATCTGATGGATAACAGTGTGATACTGTCCCTGATTGTAAAGTGTGTGTGTGTGTGTGTGTGTGTGTGTGTGTGCAGCTGGATGACTGCGCTCTGCAACTCTCTCACACCGGTGTGTGTCTGGATCTGGAGTCGACGCTGGATGAGCAGAGAGATGAGCTGGAGGGATTTCAGCCAGACGACTGCGCAGGGTGAGACGCACACTACATAGGGCACTACACTGCACTCATGATAGTGTTATTCTGTGTATGTGTGTGTGTGAGACAGCAGCTCTCACACAAATCACCTTAACAGACTTCCTGAGAGAGAGAGAGAGAGAGAGAGAGAAGTATGCAGTATTCTAAAGCCCCGTTCACACCGCCAGCGACACACAGCGCGCTGTTTTTATTTGCGCAAGTGACACGAAAAACATCCCGCGAGTAATCTAGCGAGTGACGCATTTCGCATATTCGCTTCGCGTCTGGTGTGAACACACCATAAGTGCACTCAGTGTGATTTATCATCTCTGTTGAACGCTCTCCTTCACTGCAGCACAGACAGCAGTGTAATCATATCACACAGCTCATGTGTTTGTGTTTTGAAAATGTCAGAATATTAGGGATGTATTGATGTCAAAATCTCACGGTGCGATAATATCTCGATATAAAGTCCACGATACGATATTTATTGCGATATTTAAAAAAAATAAGATAAATGAAGAATTGGGGAAAAAATTAAAATTTTGTACATTTTAAGGTTAAATTATTCTATTTGATGCACTTTGAGAGTTCAGAGTTAAGAGCTCAACCCATGTTGAAAAACAGAAAAAGTTGTACCTGAACTTTAAAGGGGACTCGACCCTCTTTTTATTTGTGATCTACTCTGTCTCAGTATAAATTACATTCACACTGGTGTTTGAGGAAGCCAAACACATTAGAATAGAAGGAATTAAACATATTGTGCTTTCGGTTTGAGTTCGTTTGACAGATAGTATAATGACCCAAAACACAACTTTAAAGACCTTTTGTGTTAGAATAAGAAGTTTAAATATATTTTTTAAAAACGACACTTTTTGCCTGGATGACCTATCGTTTCATATCGTCATGTGACCACGATAATATCAAGACAGTTTTGATAACGCGATATCACGATATTGATCATATCGTTACATCCCTGCAAAATAATAAGTCTGTCTGTTAGTGGGCGGAGTTTAAAGTCTCTCTGCGGCTGAAGTAGCTGTGCTTTATTGTGACTCACATCTGAGTGTAACTGATTGAAAAAGAGCTAATGTGGGGCGGGGCCTGGTTATGTGCATCAGCTGCTGATTGGATGTTGAGATATGGGCGTGGCTCTCGGATGGGCGTGAGCTTGAAGGGGCGGAGCTTAATCGGATTTCGTGATTGGAGAAGAGCTGCATTCATCTCTGAAGCTTGAGGGTATTAACGTTTGAAAGTGAAGAATTCAAAACATAAATATTAGTTTTGTAAATTGTAGTCAGGGTTATTATAGTCAACTAAAAAAAATTCTGTTACTTGAAATAAAATGTAAACGTATTTGACTCGGCTTGCTGCCAAGGTGATTTTTCTCATTTTCGTTTTTTATTTTTATTTGAAGCACTAAAATAACAAACTAATAATAAATAAGTATTATATTTAATTTATTAAAAAAACATTATCATTATCAATAAATGTTAACTGAAATTAAATAAAATTTAAAAACCTTAAAATACAGTTTTGTTGTATTTTCATTTAGTTTAATCTGGCATACTAAATTAACTAAAACCAATAATTGATACTTATTGTAATTAATTATTATAATAATGCATTTTAAAAAACATTTTTGTTACTTAATATAAAATAAATGTTAACTGAAATAAAATATTAAAAAACTATATATATATATATCAGTTCGTATAAGTTATATCCATTGCTTCTGCATTCTGAGTCTTGCATTTGATGACGACACACAAACCAGGATGAAGACGATGGAGCTGACTTTGAGAGAAAAGCAAGCAGTTTGGATGCTGAAAGAAAAGAGGAAGTCAATTATAGCTATAGCAAAAACAAAAGGCATGGAGAAATCAAGAGTTTGGAAACCACCGGAGACATCAGCAACCAACAACAACCTGATCCGCTGAGAAAAACAGCAGCAGTTGATGACAGACCAATCATAAAAGCTGTGAAAATGAACCCTAAAATACGTGTCTGTAAAATCAGCAACAAGCTCCAGAAAGATGGGGTGATGCTCTGATAATCTACTGTCCGCAGGAGACTTCGACACAGAATTACAGATGCTACAGCAAGTTTGTATTATATGAATGTAGGCGGTCATGTGTGTTCATGAGTTCGTGTTTGTGTTCTGGATGAGCGTCTGATCCCGTGTTGAGGGTTGTCCTGTGATCCGTCAGCTATTTTCCACACGTCACTGAGTTAAATGAGTGAGAATGAGTCAGATAATGTGTGTTTGTGTGTGTGTGAGTGTGTGTGTGAGTGTGTGAGTGTGTGTGTGAGTGTGTG